AATAAATAAATAATAAAGTTTATTTCTCCTAACAATATACTTTTCAACTTCATTTTACAATAATAGATAGGGTATGGTTACATACATTTCTGTATATGTGAGGAGCTGGTGTCTGATATAGGCATATGCCTGTTGTACAGGACCGACCAGAACTTACAGAACATCCTTGGTCAATTAGAATACAATATTTATTCTTTTCATATTGAATATTGAAAAAAAAACAGCTAGAATGCGGTACCACGCAATAATATGGTTTAGTAAGGTAAGTGAAGAGACCAAATTGACTATTTGTTTTTATTTTGCTTTTAAATTCTGAATGAATATGTGTGTGTGTGTGTTTGTAATTTCAATGTAAAAAGAGAATATATATGTTATATTCATCATCAACAGCCTTTAATAGTCCACTGCTGGACATGGGCCTCTCCTCAGAAAGGATGTTATATATGTTGTATTCCTATTTCTTTATTATATTTTCTGTAGTCAAATAGTCATATAACATATTTTTACAGTACTTCCGCATCTTGAGTTATTGAGTGAATAGATTGACAGAATTATATGCACTACATTATAAAAACTTGCTCCTTGAAAACAGATTAATCTATAGGCAAAAGTTGTGTTGAATTTTATTATTTTCCAAACTCTATCTTTTCAACGCACAGCATTTACCCGCTCAGGTTTATAGCTAATGGAAGAGTGTTTCCTTGTACAGTCACAGTGTATATAATAAACAGTCGGTCGGCTTTTAGTTCTCTATACAGATCAGCGGCAGGGTGGAAGAACGGCAATAAGTTTTTTTTTTTTTTTTTTATAGCGACCAATCCCACCCACACGCCCACCACTGTAACTCCTGTACACCAGGATCCACAGCAGTGACCCACGAACACACCGAGTTATGACACTCGGGAAGTCCCAGGAAGAAATTAAACTGTCTTGGAACCCGCAACGAAATTAATCAGAAGAAAATTGGAGTAGTTGGAAATACAGTAAGTCCACTTCCCTCCTTAGCAAAGCGGGAGACAAAATAAGGTAAAATAGGCATACACCCTTTTAAACAGGGAAGCACCACGGCCACAAAAATATTACGGGTCCTACGTCAGCTATATTTGATTTCTATAATATGTATGGCAGAATCGCCTAAACGCACGAAAATTCACCCTAGTTGACACAAGATCCCCATATAGTATACCGCCCCAGATGTCACCTGCAAGCTATTCAGCATTATATTACGTTCATTATACCAAAGACTACATTCCCAGAGGATATGATGAGCAGACTGTTCATAGTGAGAGTTAGGTGTTGAGCATTGACACAATGGTGACTCGACTAATTTAAATGAACAACTTGCTCTTAAAGTTACCATGACTCGTAAGAAATTGAGCGATACAGTGATACACCTCAAGCCATGTCCTCGACAACATGAATGATGAATGATGATGGAAAGAATTGGTAAAGATGGCGCCCCTTGGATGATTCGTCCCAGCGTTGCTGCCATTCGTCTATGAGGTCATTGTAGACATCGGACTGCTGTTGAAGCAATCTTGTAATTTTACCGCGATCCCGCGCGCCCAAAAAATCGCATTCCATGTTTTGTCTTGAATAGTACATGGCTGCACGTCTCTGCACCTCGAGATCGACCGGAAGCACACCCGTCAACACCGGCAAAGTCTCAGTGGTAACCCTATTATATGCCTTGCACAAGAATATCAGTGCAAGTCGTTGGCCTTGTAACAGTTTGCGACGGACAGCGCCTACGGTCGCCCTATCGGCCCATACAGGTGCACCATAGCACATAGAACCTAAATAAGTAGCTCCGTATATGATCTTTAATGTATTAAATGATAGACCCCATGTCGCAGTTGATATCCTTGTCAATGCACAGAAACTCTTATTTGTTCGATAAATGAAAAGTTTCTTTCTAAAACTAATCTTAGATAACACACTGAGGTATTATTTTTTTACTGTAACATTGACAAATCTAATGCTCGGCGGTGATTTGAGGTTACCTTTTAAAAGTAGCTGGAAGGTCTTGTTGGGTGCAAAAGTTAAGCGATTACGTTCACCCCATTGAGATATCAAGTTCAAACATCTATTGGCTAATCTCTCAAGCCCCGCCCTAGTATCAGGTTCCACCAGTAATAAGCCGTCATCAGCATACGCGTACAGAGTACATCCGGATTTTATTGGTATCGCAAGAAAATTGTCGAAGCCGCTATTCCACAAGTATGAACCTAGCACCGATCCCTGAAGACATCCCGTTGTAAGCGCCTTCGACACAGAATGATAACCAAGTCTTAGTTTAGTTGTACCTTGTGAAAAGTACGAAGAGACGGCAATGAGTTACCTACTTTCAAAAGGGCTCTTTGCGCTCTCTCAACTTTCAGCAGATGTGTCTTTGCAGGACCACCCCAAAAAGTTATGCAATACCCTATAGACTGAGACTTGTTCATTATTATATCTTTTCTTATTTGAATACTAAGAACCTCGAATAGTTTGGTTGTTACTTTGACTTTGCAACTGTAAACAGATGATTACATTTCTCTAATAACAGTTTTTGTTTTAAAAACATTTTTGAAAAGTTGTTTACTTAAATCAAACTGAATTTATGGGATAGTCTGTAGTTTCTTATGTCTTTCGATTTTTAATCAGGATTAAAGGATTCCTTATAAATGAAATTATATAGATTAGTACATCGGTAAATATTACGCCATACAGATTGATTGAGTCTTAACTTTCGTCATATTTTCAATAACAGCATTTCCTGAGCACCACTTAACTTCATTGTATTCTGATAACAAACAACAAAGACGGCTGATCAAACACGTACGTAGCACATCATTTTTCATACGCACTCTGGTCGTTTAGCTGGCCTTTTAAACTTTCTTTACAAAGAGTTTATCGTTTCACCTTTATAGCCTTTTGTTTACGACATTTACTCGAGGAAACTCGTTTATTATAACTATGTGTTTACTCTTAAGACTCTCGTGACCTTTATGGAATTTAACACATATTTTTGCTACACGGTTAGAAATTTCATTGGTCATCGAATCAATCTTATTAGAATTAGTTTTATTTAGATGACAATAAGAGAAAAAAGTTAAGGTACATGATTTATTTATTGAGCTATTACCGGCTATAAGAATGTTTAAAAATATTGCTGGAAAAATTTGAGATGTTGTCATTACAAGCTTCACAAGCAAGCAGATTTACTCGGCACATTGTGCTGAAATCTAGTATTAACTCCAACTCAAACAATTATTAAAAATGACAATTTCTGCGTTTTTTTTTCTCTTTGAGCGCTTCTAATTTACATGCTTCCAATTAATCGAAAAATTTTAAAAATTGCAATTTTTAGTTAATCAGACTTTTTAATAATGGGTAGTATGCCTGTGCCTTTAATCTTTCTCTTAAAATATTTTTCTTGAATCAACTTTTATGATTTCTTAAGTATTTCAGTAAGTAGGTCAAAACCTTCATTTCTGAAGAGAGGCCCATGTCATTGGACTTTTATAGGCTGTTGATGATGATGATGATGAAGTATTTCGTAGTATCAATATTTGCAGTCCGCAGCATGCACGGATGGCGTAGTGGATTAAGCAGTCGCCACTCCGCTTCCTACTTTGCCGAGTGTTGAGGGTTCAAATCTCACATGGGACGACACTTTGTGTGATAAACAAATTTTTGTTCCGTGTCTGGGTATTTTGTGTCCGTTTCATGTATGTTTGACTGTTGTGACTGTGTTGACTTTAAAAAAAAAAACTCAAAAAGCATGGTAACATAGTCTTTCTTTTGCTATCATATCTATTAGCCCTGAGCTTGAAGCAAACTCAAAAGTAATCATAATACGAGTAATAGTTATGTAAATGCTGTTTTCAACAAGCTTATAGTGAAAAATGGACTAAAAGTTTGTTGAAAACAGGAGGTCGATTTTGTTGCCAAAGTTAATACATTTATAAGTTTTCTTATTATTTCAGAACTTATGTTTTTTTTTCAGAAAATGCAATTATAATAAAACCGTCCCAGATGAGTTTCAAATTAAAATTGTATATTTTATGCATTGCTTACAAAGAATCGTTTAAAGTTCTTGATGACAGACTGTAATTCTATCACTTCTAAAAGTTTCCAACTTGTTTCAGTACAAGTTGTTTCAACAAAATTTGATCAGGTTTGGAGATGATGGGTGTTGTCATTTTATGTTTTATGTCGACCCATACAAGTGCTCTCTGGACAAGTCTGCCAAAATTATGCAAACACATTTTATCCCTGTGGAGGCTGATAAAAAATACAATATATGCGTCAACACACAATAGCGCTGTTGTGTAGAGGTTTCTATTAGATTTATTTTGCCACGTTTAACTCGCGCACAGCATTTTTGTGATTTGCAATGGCAGCCGCTCGATAAAGTACAAGTGGTCATCATGCATAAGACAAATGAAAATGAAGACATGTATGCCAAAAGATAGTGACGATTCTTCGGTTTCCATTTATGTTTTTTTATTTATCCTTGCTTTTATGCTTTTTTATATATATATAACAAAAAAAATATTATAGAACACGAATACCAAGATACATTTTCTTTATGAACATGTTATTCTTTGAATCATCCAGGTCACAATACAAATAGGCAAACACAAAGGCAAGACGACAGTATAAAGACTTGAAATAACATGCTTTACAAAGAATCTGTAATTTTATGTTTGCTCTCTTGCCTTAGTATTAGCCAAAATTGGATGAAAACAGCGAAATATGTGCTACACTAGCAGATCTGAGTTTTGTGTTCAAATATTACAAAATAATAAAGTCACAAATTTCTGTTTCTCCGAGACTATTCTAAGATCTGTCTCTTAAACGGAAAATATACTGAGCAGTTCTACACTACTTATGGTATTACAAACAAGTGTATTTGGAAAACTTAAGTTATATAAACTTGCTTATGGTGCATTGAACCAAAATGTTTGAAGTTATATTTCTATAATTTTCAAACACAATACAAGAAACCAATTTTATTCAGGGGTAACATACTGTAATGTATTTGATGTATCTGGAACGAATTGTTGTAAATTTGCGGTCCCTGAAAACTGTGGGTTTGTCAGAGCTGTGGATGTAAGAATAGATGATTCGGTACATTCTGGAGCAGATAAATAGAGTTGTTGACAATGTGTGGCTACAGGAACTTGGTATTGATATTGAGGACCATTGATGGCCATATTATTATTATTAAATCTTTCCGTATTATTGTTCGTGTTTTCTTTCTCAGGTCTCACTGTTAACTTTGAATCTAGGGAAAGTTGTTCCATTTGTCCATTAAATACTACATCGTTGATCAGTTTCTCAGCCAACATTTTCTGTTGCGTAGTCATTGATCTCAGTTTATCAGCAACGTTTTTTCCAAAAACATCAAATTCATCGTCTCTTTGACGTAAGCGTTGAGTAATAGATCGAAACATTTGATCAAAAGGTACGACTTTTCGATTGATATAACACTGCGAGTATTACATCAATTTGATTTAAGGAAAAGGCAGATATAGGAGATATATCTGAAAAAAAAGAATAACAATAAATTTAAAATAGTACCTGATTCTGTTTATTTATACCCAAAAGTAAGGACATTATAAAAGCAATTTGATAAAATCTAGATGAAACTGTCTACGACAATTTTTTCAGAGAATCTGGATCCTGGGAACTTCAAGAGTACAGTAAACATGTTTGGCTTGTAAAAAGCTCAACTTACGTCTTTACCTGACAGTTTCCATGAGATGAGATCAATAAGGATTTTTAATTCCAATTTTCAATTTATGAATAAGGAAAATGAATGGTGGTCAATGCCATCAAGCCGATTTTTTTTCTTAAAATTAAGAAAACAATACGTATAGTTACATCCTGAAGTCTCTAGAAAAACTAAGATACGCGTCATATTTTTTAATTGCAAAATAGTTCGAAAATCGGCTATTTTTTTGGTTCTCGAAATTTATTTCAAAAAGTATTGGATTCACAAAAAAATGTTTCGAGTAAAAGTTGTTCAGGAGACAATTTTACATATATACAAAGGGATTAATGACTTTAAACAATTAAAAAAAAACGTTTTGTTGTTTATTTTTTGGCTCTGAAACCTGGAATTGGAAAAACGAAAAAGTGAGTAAAAAAGTATCTTACCTTGGAATTTAATGAAAACAAAGTGCACCTAGACCGATTCCGAAATTTTAAACTGGCGGCCTACTGCAAAATTGTTAACTAAAAAATTGAAAAAGCAATAACTTGTGTCGCAGCAGTCAGACCCGAATCATTTTTTTTTTGCAATTTGTAGGTACCAATTACTCATTTAATCAATCCATTTTTTTTGTTTTATTTAATAGGTAGATACAAATACTTTTTTTAATAACAATTTTGTTTATAATAGGTCTTTACCTATGAAATTGCCGTTTTGTATGCAATAAGTGAAAGTACTTATTTTTTCAAACTTTTTTATTTCTGTTATTCGAAGTAATCACCCATGCAATCGACGCATCTTTGCCAACGCATTAAAGGCATTTTGTACTGCCTCTCGTCAATTTAATTTTTTACCCACTAAAAAGTTGTCTAAATTTTGGAAAAAGTAATAGTCGGTAAGTGCAAGGTCTGGTGAGTATGGCGGATAAGGGAGAGCTTCCAACCCCTTTCACTGAATGCATACAAAACGGCAATTTCATAGGTAAAGACCTATTATAAACAAAATTGTTATTAAAAAAAGTATTTGTATCTAAGGTTTACGGCGATCGTCGTCCCTTAGTTAATGTTAATGCAACAAATGTACTAGACTTCAGAATTTAACTATACGTATTTTTTCTTAATACGAGTATTAAGCCAAATTTCGGCTTGATGACATCGACCACCACTTTCTCTAATTTTCATGTCTCTGGGGCCCCAACTAAATATATTTTAATAGGCTCTATTCTGCATTCCTTAATTTATCACCTTAGAAGTGGCATATTTACTTAATTCAAATGTAACGAAGACTATACCTTTATGCATTTTCTTATATGTCTATCGGTGGTTATTGTTAGTATGGTTACAACTCTGAAGGTGTAGGCAGAGGCGTTTCAAGGCCCAAATTGGGACAGCCACAATTTTAGTCATACTCACGTAATAGGAGGCATGCTTATTGCCGAAGAGGGGGCAAACGAGCAGACGTGTCACCTGATGGAAAGCGACAACCGCAGCCCAGAAACGCCTACAACTCAAGTCACAAACGCGTTGCCGGCCTTTAAGGAAGGAGTACGCTCTTTTCTTGAAGCTTTGGATGTCGGTATATCGGTCCGGAAATCCGCAGACAATAACTTGTTCCACAGGTTGGTTGTGAGAGGCAAAATGTATCTTGAAAAGCGGACACTGATGGAGTGCCAATTTTCAAGTGGTGGAATGATGGCGGAAAGTTGCCGAAAGTTGGTGTCTAGATGGTAAATGGTGTGACGTCATAGGTATAGAAATGGATAATTAGACTCGTCGTAGATCGAAGATCGTATTAATCGTCTTGTTTCATACCACAACTCATAAAATACTGTAATGGTCATCATTTGGATGAGAAATACAAAAACTCCCATAATCACTTTACAGGCAATCGCTAATAAGAGATAAAAAGTTTTCGACAAAAAAATCATTATGAAAGCAAACCTGTTATTTTCGTAACCACTTCAGTCTAAATAGAGATAAATTTAGGAGTAAAGAAAGAAGAGAACTATAGAGAACGTCATCTAAGGCTCTAGAAATTGCAACATGTTGTGGAGATCTTGGTATTTATGAGATTTTGTCAATATTGTTAATAAATTTCATCATGCTTGACTATGTAGAAACTTTGAAACTAATTTAATTTTTTAATAATATCTTCATGAGTAATGCTACATTAATATATTAATGAGAATTTCAGAATTTTAATAATAATAAATAATCACTGTATTCTTTGGGTGACAATTATTCTGTCCATCATATGTCATAGGGCAATCACAACATTGTCATGAAAAAGTTTTTATACAAAGTTTTTACACTACATGTGAAATTATTTTTCAGTTTACCAGAGATTACTTACCAGAAAATAGATAGATATTGTTATAATGTTGCAATTAATAACCGAATGAAAACTTTGAAATGATTTTATTCAAAATAACTGGATAACTTAAAAAATACTAGCTTTTAAACTATTGCGTTCCACAATCTACGTTTAGGGCATGAATGCTCTCAATAATGGTGAGCGCGTTAGTTCATATTAAACATTATTAAACTTAAGATAAAAAAATGCGCTTCAACTAATATTCTTCTGAACATTAGAACTTACTTATAAACTTAAAGTATACAAAGCGTTTTGTAGGGAGGTTTTGATATTGAGTTTTCAGCGCAATATCATAGTAATCTCTCATTAAGTTTAGTCACGGAATGTCACTACCCCAATTCATCCTGTGGGTGTCACCAGCATGTGACACCAGCACTGCAAAAAGAAGTAAAACTTGACACAAACCCTATACCAACCCATCTGGCCAGCGTGGTATAGTAGGCCAAAACCTACTTTTCTAAGGAGAGGCCTATGTCCAGCAGTGGACTATTAAGGCTGTTGATGAAGTTTAGTAATACTAACTAAACGAGACATTTAAATAGTTACAAGTAGATAACCTAACTGTAATCTGCAGATGCATTCAGAAAGATGAAGACGGTCTGTCAGGTATCCTGAGGTCAAACTTTTAACACTAAATGAACAAAAAGTCTAGCTCTGATCTGACATAATCAAAATCCGGAAATTACGAACACGAGGACATCAAACAAACCCTAATCGTAAAATCGTTAAAACAAAGTTAATTAACAGATAAAATTAGTTTAAAAGTGTTGTTTAAGGGACTTCAAACGACAAGTTTGTACACAAATATCAAAGCTTAAAAAGTTTAACCATAATTATTGTGAGGCTTATAAACAAGGAGGCTGTGGCAAAGAAGAATGAACTATTAACATATTGTAAGTACAGGGCCTTTTGAATAATTCAACTATTATAATACCTTAATAGGAATAAGTAAAGGTGAAATAACTTAACCTTACAAAGACTGATTAAAGACTGACAAAACACTTAAAGTTTTCTGTAGAACATTTTTTTCTACACATTTTATTATAGACTACTTGACCGCCTTACTTCTAATTTAATTTCATAGTACGAGTATATAGTGCGTGACCAGACTCTTCGTTGTGATAACCTCCGTGGACTCAGGTTTCCACTGAGAGAAAAAAAAGAAACTCTTATTTCAATGTCGGTACAAAAAATCTTACAGCCAATTTAAACAACTCAGAATTAAATATTTTTATGTTCAAAAGATTTATTTTAAGTTTACATACCTACTTTGAATTTGTCACCATGTATTTTATGTTTAATGTCATTAGTTCACCAAAAAAAAAAACTTCAAGGCAAATAATCAAGTTCGTTGCAGTGTCGTGTCGTAGTATCGCTGATGCAGGGCCTTAGTCTCATTGAATTCGTGAACTATAGAAAATATTAAAAAAAAAACCTAACACAACTTTCTGGAAACGGTTAGACGTACTAACAGATTGATTGACAGAAACCATAATATATGATATTTATATACATACTACTGATCCTTAAAAATATAGTAATGATTCAATAACCTAGTGGATAAATATTGTTGTATTCATGAAATATTTTCTTTTTGTAGACGAAATCGCAGACCTGCAGAATAAATTGAAATTAAATTAAGCATTTTTATATCCATTATTCCACAAGGAAGGTCGTCATGTACAAGTAAAATATATTTAAAAACGAAAACTCCTAATATATAGGTACTCTCTGTATTACCAAACGCATGTTATTATTATTCTAAAGCATCACATCTAAATTAATCTTAAAGTCTAACAACAGAACTTTGTTTCGCAAAGTTATGCAATCTGACATAGAACTTTATTATGAACAATATTAATAAAAGCCCGTGTCGAGCATACTAGTTTAGCATCAAAGGCTTTTAAACTAAATTAAAATCTAATTTTTCACTTTACATCTTAAGCACTATACCCTAAATTATCTGCAATTGACTTTATTATTAAGATAGGATTAAGAATACAGAGTGTCACCACCCCTATTCATCCCGTGGGTGTCGTAAGAGCCGACTAAGGGAAAAAAACTATGCAGAACAATAGCACTGCAGAGAGAAGGAAAACTTGACACAAACCCTATACCAACCCGTCTGGCCAGCGTGGTATAGTAGGCCAAACCCTCCTTTCTAGGAGAGGCTTATGTCCAGCAGTGGACTATTAAAGGCTGTTGATGATGACTTTATTAGTAAGTGTTACATGCACTTACTATTTCAATTAATTCCTTACATAAAAGCATTAAGGATATTAGATATATCATATGATAGTTTCGCTCCGTATTTGGAGCTTTTGCCATTTCAATTTTTCCTTGTTTATTGTGAGACCTTTAATAGTT